TAGAATAAATGTGCGCTCTTCTCTCTCCTGCAGATGCAGTGGATTTGGGTTCCCCGGATGAGCTGACGGAGATCGCGGAGGTTGATGAGGGCATCTGTACGCAGGCGTCCGGCGCTCAGAGCAGCCCTCCGACCATCGTGATCAGCAGCAGCGCTGGAGGAGCCGCAGCCGGAGCTGGAAAGCTGGCGGGGAAAGGTCTGCGCCGCCTGACTGGACGATCCAGCAAGGAGAAGGATAAAGAGAAGGACGCGGCCACCGGCATGGACCAGCTAACCCGCAAACAAGCAGCCGTCCGCGCCATGAGTGAAAACCTAGAGCTGCTGTCACTCAAACGGCTGACGCTGACGGCCAGCCAATCAGTGCCTAAGAGCGGCTCGCTTAGCCTGTCGCGCACCGCTAGCGCCGTCTTCTCTCGCTCCTTCGAGCAGGTCAGCAACGTCTTCTCCGGAAACCAGCCGTCCAGTCGTGCGTCAAGTCCAACGTCCAATCACGTCGCTGAACAAGATGAGGGTGTGGCTTATCTGGATCACATAAGCCCCGCCCACCAGCATCGGCAGCGTTCTCCTACCATCAGTATCCATGTGACCTCTGACCTGTGAACTTAAAAACTGGCCGCCATCTTGTGGCACACAACTGCAGCACCTTACAGGACGTCTGTTTGTTTCCCTAAGTCGTGTTTAATGACCAAAGTCGTGTATTTTTTTGAAGTACGTGTTTTTAAGGACGTCTCCCAGTTTGCTCATGAAGTTTACAGGCGGTGTTGTGTATTTTTTAATGCTGTGTCTGTTTGGGAGCGGACGTTTACATGCAGACTAAACAGTGTTATGATTTGTGTGTGTGTGTGTGTGTGTGTGTGTGTGTGAGATTTTTACGTGTGTTCTCCTCTCTGTTTCCCAGCATGCACTGGGCTTGAACCGAAGCCATGATTATTTCACACTGTTTCCATGGGAATTTGGACTGTATTGAAAGCCTGAGCGGAAAATCTGCTGGAAACTAATACCTACGTCTTCGTTAATGTCATTTCTGATGCGGTATTTCTAAAGCAATACGGTTGTGTTTTAAATCACTGCTGATTTTGAAGGCCATAAGAGATGTTTGACACGTGAAGCGGGTGTTGAGCTGCTCGTGTGTCACACTGATGTCATGCTTATAACGCAAAGCACTACAGCAGAGACCCAGAAAACAGTGTGATCATAAGCCAGAAATCTGTCTTGATATGAACGATGAATCTATGTGATCTTTTTTTTTTTTTCTTGGACTAATTATGGCATCTGTTATTGGTGCATCACTGCTTTTGCACCAATATTTGTCTGGTTTTATTGTAATTATTTTTTAGGATGATCAAAGAATTCTCCCTGGCCGTAATGGTTTGTGTTTTTACTTTGAAGTGGATCATCAATAGCAGTGGTTATCTTTGTATTCAGATTATTTTGGGAATGTGAATATTTTGTTGTGAGTTGTAAATATTATTGTACTAAAGTCTTTTTTTTTTTTGCCTTTTATCACAAAATAACATGGTTACAGTCTCTGAAGAATAAAGATTTCTATTTCAGCAGGCCTCTAGATTTTTATAGAGTGAGAAACAAACACTACATGTTTTACTTAGTAGTTTTTAATTAAAATACACCATTTATTCGCTCTCTAAATTGTCATGGGATTTAATGATAGAATCGTCGTCAATAACAAATAGTTATTTGTTTATTTATATATATAATATTTTTATAATATTATAAAAATTTTATAATTTTTTTTAATTTTTATAAATAAATAAAATAAAATAAAAATTTTATTTAAATTTTTTTTATTTAAATTTTATAAAAAATTTTATAATTTTTTTTTTACATTTTTTATAAATAAATAAAATAAAATAAAAATAAAAAAATAAAATAAAAATGTTATTTTTATTTATAATAATTATATTTTATATAATTATTTTTTAGGTGTTTTCACCTTTATTGACAGGACAGTGGAGATTAACAGAAGCAGCAAGGCTTGGCAAAGGACCCCGAGCTGGAAATCGAACTCATGTCACCGCTCGTACCTGGGTGCTATATGTCGACGCACTAACCACTAGGCCATTGGCGCAGACAAGAAAGGCATATTTTGAGATGAGAATTTGAAGATTCCAACAGAATTGGTTCAGAAGGGTCTCAGTGGCATGTTGTCTCAGGTAATTTTATAACACAATTCAATTGTTATTACAATGCATGCATTTTTGTCAGTGGTCAATCTGAAGGAAGGAAGGCGAATCGGTTGTATCCAAAATCACCTCCTACAGGGTTCATATGGTCATGGAAAACCTGGAAAAGTCGTGGAATTTTTCACATGGCATTTTTTAGGCCTGGAAAAGTTTTGGAAATCAGAAAAACGCACAAAGTTTTGGAAACGTCATGGAGAACCGATATCTATATACAGTTGATGTCTGAATTATGAGCCCCCCTGTTTATTTTTTCCCCAATTTCTGTTTAATGGAGAGCAGATTTCTTTCAGCACATTTCTAATCATAATAGTTTTAATAACTCATCTCTAATAACAGATTTATTTTATCTTTGTCATGATGACAGTAAATAATATTAGACTAGATATTCTTAAGACACTTCTATACAGCTTAAAGTGACATTTAAAGGGTTAATTAGGGTAACTAGGCAGGTTAGGGTAATTAGGCAAGTTATTGTATAACAGTGATTTGTTCTGTAGACTATCAGAAAAAATTTGCTAATAATTTTGTCCCTAAATTTTTTTTTTTAATTTAAAAACTGCTTTTATTCTAAATAAATCAAATAAGACTTTCTCCAGAAGAAAAAATATTATCAGACATACTGCGAAAATTTCCTTGCTCTGTTAAACATTATTTGGGAAATATTTTAAAAAAGAATCAAAGGGGGGCGAATAATTCTGACTTCAACTGTACTTGAATATAAGTTAGTTGTTTTGACTTCTTTTCTGTCCTCGGCCAATCACATACTCTCACATTATTAGTGGGGTGTAAGCATTGTCTAAATCAATCTTACATAGCTATAAATACAAATTTACGCTAAATAGATTGTTGCGTGTTTATGATAAGCTGTAATAAATTTGAACATGCATTGTTTTTCTTTTACCCTGCATATGTAGAGTTTGCATGAAACATTAGGTCATGAAAATAGACTTGAAAGTCTTGGGAAAATTATGTAAAAAAAAAAGTAATACAGTTTTAATTACAATATTTAAAAAAGCCCTCAAAAAAATAACGGCCTACTTTCACACTATTTTTCTTAAAGGTTACGATTTTAACGTTGTGATATTACTTTCCCCCTCAGCATTAACTTTTTTATAACTGCAGCCTATAGTTGGATTGTACCACAGCAGCTATTCAATTACTACAACAGTTTAATTCAAGTAAATAACTTTAGCATAGTTCAAAAACACTATACCTAGTATTTTCGCCTCAATGAGAGGCAAGTGAAGTTTCTTTATGAACTAATATCACATGCTTATGATTGATCACGGCTGGTCCCGCATGATTCACCAATCAGATGATTCTTAGCTTACTATAAATAACCAGAGTTTCTTACCTCAGATTCTTCTTCACCGAAGAATCCCCTTTCACCCCTACTTCTCCCTTTTCCCAATGGTTAGCACTACTGCCTCACAGCAAGAATGTCCCTGGTTTAAGTCCTTACCAAGCCAGCCGACGATTCTGTGCAGAGTTAACATGTGCTCCCCGTGGTTGCGTGGCTTTCCCCCAGGGTCTCCGGTTTCCTCCCACAGTCTAAAGACATGAGACATAGGTGAATTGACCAAACCAAATTTGCACCATGTATGAGCTGCTAATCAGCAGTAAATATCTCCTTAGCGATTTTTATTTTCTATTAGACATAAATAGGTAGAGGAATTCTTAAGACCTACAGTGCCTGGGCTCAAACCCCTCTCTCACCCTGCAAATGGGAGGGAGCCCCGGGCTTGAGGATCTTATGTCCCGGGCTCTCTCCCAGCACAGCATGACAGACAAGCTTTATTATTAATCATCAAGTGTCTTGAAATATATTTTACTTAAGTAGAAAACTCAGTTGTCTTCATAGGATAAGGATCGTGTCCAACATATGTGGTTATTTCCTATTTGTATCTCCCAAATACGGTATAAATCGCAAAAATACGCATTTCCTCTGTCTTCCATTCAGTTTTTTATTATTATTAATGACAGGGTAACAGGAACAACAAGCATTGTAGATGAAATTTACAAACAAGCAAAGCATAGAGTATACATGCTCAAGATAAAGATAAACGACTGAGTTTCTTTCCTTTCTGCTGTCTATTTGAATTTCGCGCGTCACCTGAATCACGTGATCGCAAACGTTATTAATCGTCGAACATGGTCATGGATGGACGATGAAGTGTGTGAAAGACACGTAAAAGTGAGCTTTTGAATAATATATGAAAACATGAGGAATGATTTGTTTCTTCAGTATATGTCTGTCCTCCTGCCTGCTTTATTAGCTTTTTGTTTTGTTTTTATGAAACATGTACGTTAGGTCGGTCATCAAATCAGCATATGCCTATGTCGTCAGTGTTTATATGTTTTTATATATTACTTTTGCCATTTAGTGAGGTTGTGCAGTAAACCCGTCATTAATGCTGTGCTAAATTTAAATGCAGTTTGCAAATGTTTAGTACCTTCCCTGCTGAAAAATCCAGCTTAAACCAGCCTAGGCTGGTTGGCTGGTTTTAGCTGGTCAACCAGGCTGGTTTTAGAGGGGTTTTGGCCATTTCCAGGCTGGTTTCCAGCCATTTCCAGCCTGGTCTTAGCTGGTCAGGCTGGAAAATGATTAGCTAAATCCAGCTAAAACCAGCTTGACCAGCCTGGTTTAAGCTGGACATAGTTGGTTTTGGCTAGGCTCCCAGCCTGGCTAGGCTGGTCAAGCTGGTTTTAACTGGTCATCTCCCAGCCTGACCAGCTAAGACCAGGCTGGAAATGGCCAAAACCCCTCTAAAACCAGCCTGGTCGACCAGCTAAAACCAGCCAACCAGTCTAGGCTGGTTTAAGCTGGATTTTTCAGCAGAAAAACCTGGCTTCATGACGGACAACGACAGGTATGATTGCATTTCCCCTAATATCATTATTATGAAGCATGCGCACCACTGAAGTGCTTTCTCTGTACTAGTAAAACAGACAAAAAAGTGAAAAATAAAGGGCGTTTCGACCACAAATATGCGTCTTATGACTTTCTTTTCCGCAAAAATAGGAAATGAAAGTGAAACCATTTCGTGTTTCATTCCCCGAGGTGTGGCGCACGACTGTGGTTTCCTCACGTAAGTAACTTCACATATTTACAGGTATGTGCTGGATGATACTCAGTCAATAAAAAATGAACAGAAGCCGTTTTTGTAGTACATATTGTCAGACTAAAAAACACAAGATCACCCCCAGTGGGATAATAAGCCTTGTTTAGAAAACTTTTACAGAATGTAGACGCTTTAAAACCGCGGATAGGTTAGTTAGTTTTATATTAGATATCATTTGCCAAAGAGAACGCTTAATATTGTATTATTTTTTTCCACATTCCAGTCAAACCAACTTTAAAATCATCAGGAACAACAGTTCCTCTTTTCTGTTTCTGAGGGGGGTTTTGCCATTTGATTTCACACGGAATGTACTTTACTACCAAGTTGATTTAATGATTTATTTACTTCTAACGGTCTAAGAGTTTGACTGAATGAGAATATTAAAATACACACATCTGGTATATTCATTTTAAGGCTAATAAGATGTAAAGTGGAGTCTATTATTTTATTACCCTTAGAAGTATACTGTAGGATTCATCTGACCAACTGTAAAACTCAGAATGTGATTATGTGCATACAAGACTTGGAGCTGTGCGATGCTTAAAATGCGCACACCTATGTTAAGTTTAGGCTTACGGTTAGGTTTGTGCACTTCTACATGATTGTTATCCATCTGTTATTCTCTTCTGATTCTGGGAATAATTTACAGTTATATTTGGGTTTAGGGATAGGGAATAGGTATGGATTACATTTTCCAACAAAAATGATGTTCCAGGATCAACACAGATGTTAATGCAGGATCATTGCATCGTGCTTGGCAAAATCATGGTGTTCTTGCTAAGATGTGCAAGTATACAGTCAGATACTATTGTTTTCTGAGAAACATAAAGTATATTTTAATTGAGACTCATTTAAATGTATACAGTTGAATTCAGAATTATTAGGCGCCCCCCCCCCCCCCTTTTTTTTTTTTTATATTTCCCAAATGATGTTTAACAGAGCAAGGAAATTTTCACAATATGTCAGATGATATTTTTTCTTCTGGAGAAAGTCTTATTTGTTTCACTTTGGCTGGAATAAAACAAGTTGATAATTAAAAAAAAAAATAAAAAAAACATTTTTTGGGAAAAAATTATTAGCCCCTTTGAGCTATTTTTTTTTTCTCGATAGTCTGCAGGGCTCACCAAACTTATTCCTTAGGTGCCCTACAGATTTTATTTCCAACTCTTATCAAACGCACCTGAACCAGCTAATCAAGGTCTTACTCGGTAGACTTGAAACATCCAGGCAGGTTTGTTGAGGCAGAATTCGTGCTTGCTGTTTTCGTGTAAATCCACCAGAGGCCGCTGTCGACTGACTGAAGGATTGACTGACCCAGCCTCCTATCCTAAACCCAACCAATAGTGTTTTCAAAAGCACTGATTGACTATTTGTTTCACATAAAATATTGAAGAACATTTTCACCTTTATTACTTGTTTCAGTGCATCTGAATCATTGTTTCTGACTCTTCACGCATGATCAGGCTTCATGAATACTAAGTGAGTCATGGAAGACAATCAGACATTCAGTGATGCTCCAGTTTGCAGGTATGTCAAACACTGCACATGATCATAATATCACAGTAGAGGCATTATACATAATGGAGTGTCTTGGATGTTTGACAGGATTGGTTTAGTGGTTATTCACTCATATTCTGGTGTTGATATACACTAGTTGAGACACTGATTGGCTTTTAGGTCCTTACACATATTTGGGTGATTTGACCTTACGGTGGCTCAGTGGTTAGCACTCTCACCTCACAGCAAGAAAGTTGCTGGTTCAAGTCCCGAATGGCCCAGTTGGCATGTCAGTGTGGGGTTTACATGTGTTGGCGTGGGTGTCCTCCAGGTGCTCCAGTTTCCACAAACACATGCACTATAGCTGAATTTGATGAACTAAATTGAACAGTGTATGAGTGTGTCCGTAAATGAGAGTGTGTATGGGTGTTTCCCAGTACTGGGTTGCGGCTCGAAGGGCATCCGCTGTGTAAAACATATGCCGGAATAGTTGGTGGTTCATTTCACTGTGGCAACCTCTGAAATAGAGACGAAGGAAAATGAATAAATGATTGTATGTCCAAAGTGTCCAAAGAGCCCACAGATACTGGAGAAAGAGAGATGATATTATCATTAGGCTATGTCATTATCACTTGTCAATATGTTGAATGAATCCTACTCTATTTGTCTCTAATTCTTTTCAACCCTCAGTAATGAATCAAACCCAGAGTTTGAGCCCAGCTGTGTGTCCATGAAGAGCGACCAGTCAATGGATCCACCAATGAAGTTTAAGGAAGGACACACATCAGCTGATCTGAGGTACAGCAGTGATCGACTATAATAATTGTCAATTCTCATCTCTGTTGTAGTCTATTGCCTCTTATATTACATTTGTTTGCACAGTGACAGATTAAATCCACCAGGGTCCAGCTGTGTGTCCATGAAGAGCGACTGGTCAATGGATCGACCAATACAGTTTAAAGAAGAACACTCATCAGCTGATCTGAGGTACGACATTGTTCTGTTGTGAAAAATGCCTCTGTGATATCTGCTTTTCCTTTATAATACACTCATTTTCACAGTAATAAATCAAACCCTGGGGAGCCCAGCTGTGTGTCCTCGAAGAGTGACCAGTCTATGGGTCCACCAATAAATGTTATGGAGGAACACTCAGCAGCTGATCTGAGGTACAACTCAGCAAAGAGACACATGACAAACAGACTCACAGCGTATCTAGAGCATCTATTGACTCTCATCACACTGATAATATGAACCAGAACAGTCAAACTCATCAGATTCAGACAGATAGAGCTTACTGCATAGATGCAAACACCTCAACTTTTGACTTCAAATTAACAAACTATATACGATAAAACAATTGATTGATTTTCCTTTGCGTTAGTCTCTGATTCATTTGAGATCTCCACTGCGAAAAGAAACAACAAATATTCCAGCATATGTTTTACGCAATGGATGCTCTTCCAGCCACAACCCAGTACTGGGAAACACCCATACACACATTCGCACACACTAAGGGTGCTTTCACACTTGGTTCAATTGCCTGGACCGAACCCAAGTTTGATTGTCCCCCCTTGCCCCCTTCTCGACTGGTCTTTTTTTCCTTCTTATCCCCGGTACTCTTCCGTCATCAAGCTGCTGCTTTGTGTACAGCTGTGACGGTCACGAAAGCAAATCGGCAAAATAGAGACGTTCGCATATCACCGTCATTCTGCTTTTACTGAATTTTTGGTTCGTTACCAAAACCAAAATACAGAGAGCCACTCGTGTCTATCTGCCTCAAAAAAATATTTAAAGTGTTCAGAACATCACGCGATGTCCGCAAAAGTCTATTTTGGTGGGGACAAGCAGACATGATCTCTTTGCACTGGGTCAGTCCCGCTTGTCACCAAAGTAGGTGATACACAGCCACACACAGAGGAAGGAACGTTATAAAAACCAAAGTTTGTTGTACTGTTGGCGGTTCACTTCTGTTATTTGGTACGATTGCATTCATATCAGAAGTGAACCGTACCAGAGTTTGCATGAACCATACCCCAGATCACCTCTTTCAGGCGAACTTGGATACGATTTATGGGTGCGCACCTGACATCGGAAGACACGTTCACACTAGCTAAACTCTGATTCCAAACGAACCCGGGTGAGGACCAAAAGTGCTAGTGTGAAAGCACCCCAATACACTATGGCCAATTTAGTTTCTTTAATTCACCTATACACTGAAAAAAAATTATTTAAAGATGATTGAAAAAGACTGCATTGTTTTTTACGTTAAGTGGTCGTAAACAATATTTTTGGGCTGAATTTAAGCAAACAAATTAAGTTGAACATAAATAAATTTAGTTGTTTAAATTCAACACAAATGAATTTTTTGCAACAGTTCTGCATGCAACACTTTTTTCAGTGTTCATGTGTTTGGACTGTGGGGGAAACCGGAGCACCCAGAGGAAACCCACACCAGAACATGCAAACTCCACATAAAAATGCCAACTAATCCAGCCGAGACTCAAACCAGCAAACTTCTTGCTGTGAGGCGACAGCGCTAACTGCTGAGCCACCCGCTGTGTAAAACATATGCAGGAAACATTGGCGGTTCATTCATTTACCTTTTTTAGCAAGCTGTCTACCTCACCTTACTTTCGTCTCTTTTTCATACTGATTTGATATCTTGAATTAAGCTTCGCCAGATCTTAAGATTTGCCATTATTGCAACACGGGCTCATTCTAAAAGCCCTATATGAATTTCTGCAAATCGTGAATTATGTAGCCAATCGTACGTATGGCTGCATTTCATCTCTAAAATGAAAGCTATAGGGCGGTATACGGGTCGTTCCTTTTCATGCTTGCTCGCTGACCACTTACCTTCATATGGAGAGTTTTCCCGATGTTACCATTTTTAAACGAGGTTCGAGTCGGGCAAAGAACAGTTCCAGAAAGCAGGTAAGACAAAAACGAGAGCCAAAAAATAAGGTCAGTCGGGGCTTTTGAAAACACTATTGGTTGGGCTTTGGGAAGGAGAAGACTGGGTCAGTCAACAGCAGCCTTTGGTGGAATTACGCAAGTACAGCAGGCATGAATAACACTCACAAGAGAAATTTGAGATCTCAAAAAGCGTACACAGCAGCCTCTAATAGATTCACAAAAACTGCAAAAAGTAGTTCCTGGGACCTCTGGTCCTCTCCAGAAATATATAGGGGTACGTTTTTATAATGAGCCTGGTTTGCAGTAGTGATGCTTTAAGTTTAGAACCAGTACCACTTTTCTGAATAACCCACAGACGTCATAAATGGTTAATGGTTCTTAACACATAGAGGTGCGTTCTAACATAATATGGTGTGTAGATTGTGCCAAAATATGGGGTTCTACTGGGCCCATAGAATTGTTCTCATCCACCCCCACCTGAAGATTATATTCCTGAACTACCCCTGCAACTCACCATTTGTTAAAATACAGGCTATTCATATTCCCTTCAAGGTTGAGTGGCAGCACATTACTAGATTAAAGCAATACATCCACAGAGAGCAAAATTGTGCCATAATTTATTATTTTAATCTTTCAGGCTTGACCCGCATCTGAAACAAAATGGACTCAGATCAAATCTATTGAGGAAGTTCCAGTGTCTTTATGAAGGAACAGCGATGCAGGGAGACCCAACACTCCTGAATGAGATCTACACAGAGCTCTACATCACAGAGAGTGACAGCGGAGAGATCAATAATAAACATGAGCTGAGACAGATTGAGACACGATCCAGGAGATCAGCAACAGAGGACACACCGATCCAATGCAGAGACATCTTTACACCTTTACCTGGACAAGACAAAGCCATCAGAACTGTGCTGACCAAGGGAGTCGCTGGCATTGGGAAAACAGTCTCTGTGCAGAAGTTCATTGTGGACTGGGCTGAAGAGAAAGAGAATCAGGACATCCAGCTCATATTTCCCCTTCCTTTCAGAGAGATCAACCTGATGAAGGACAGAACACTCAGTCTGTCAGATCTGCTGCAAGTGTTTTTCCCTGAAACTAAAGAGATGGAAATATCCAGTGAACAATTTAAAGTGTTGTTCATCTTTGATGGTCTGGATGAGTGTCGAGTGTCTCTGGACTTTAAATGTGATGTAAAACTGCATGATGTTTCTGAATCGGCCTCAGTGGACGTGCTGCTGACGAACCTCATAATGGGAAATCTGCTTCCCTCTGCTCTCATCTGGATCACCTCCAGACCAGCAGCAGCAGATCTCATTCCCTCTGAGTTTGTCCATCGAGTGACCGAGATTCGAGGCTTCAATGACCCTCAGAAGGAGGAATACTTCAGGAAGAGAATCAGAGATCAGTTTCTGGCCGATATAATCATCATAAACCTGAAGTCCTCCAGGAGCCTCCACATCATGTGCCACATCCCAGTGTTCTGCTGGATCTCAGCCACGGTTCTGGAGAAGATCTTCAGTCAAGCGCAGAGTGGAGAGATTCCCAAGACTCTCACTCAAATGTACACACACTTCCTGATCATGCAGACCAACATCAGACATGAGAAGGACTATGAGGAGGAGGTCAGAGATGAAGACATGATCCTCAAACTGGGGAAACTGGCTTTTGAGCAGCTTGTGAAAGGCAACCTGATCTTCTATGAGGAAGACCTGAGAGAGTGTGGCCTTGATGTGACAGAAGCTTCAGTTTACTCAGGATTGTGCACTCAGATCTTCAGAGAGGAGTTTGGCTTCTATCAGGGGAAAGTTTTCTGTTTTGTTCATCTGAGCATCCAGGAACATCTAGCAGCTCTATATGCTCATCACTCCTTAACAAACAAGAACAGAAACGTGTTTAAGCAAACAAAACCAAGTCTGTTGTCTAAGGTTTTAAACCAGAAGAAACATGATTCATTATCTGTTCTCCATCAGAGAGCTGTGAAAGAGGCTTCACAGAGTAAGAATGGACATCTGGATCTTTTCCTGCGTTTTCTTCTGGGTCTCTCATTGGAGTCCAGTGGGACTTTGTTACGAGAACTACTGACACAGACAGGAAGCTGCTCCTACAACAAAGAGGAAACAGTTCAGTACATCAAACAGAAGATCAGGGAGAATCGTTCTCCAGAGAGATCCATCAATCTGTTCCACTGCCTGAATGAACTGGGTGAAGATTCGCTGATGCAGGAGATCCAGGATTATCTGAGCTCTGGAGAAATAAAAGAAACTAAACTCTCCTCTTCACAGTGGTCAGCTCTGGTTTATGTGTTGCTGACATCAGAGAAGAAGATGGATTTTTTTGATCTAAGTAAGTTTATTGGACCCCAACTCAGAGCAGATGTAGTTCTCCAGAAGCTGCTGCCTGTGGTGAAAGAATCCAGATCAGTTCGGTAAGTCAGTTAAAACTAGCACATTTATGATGTTGACATTTGATTCCTAACCAAGGAAAAAGAAGTGTAAACCTTCTCAATTTCAAATCTACTGCTGTCAGTAAGGAGGAGTGTTTTGTGAATCACTTATTAAATCAGCTGACGAGTTGTTCTGTATGTCTCAATGAAAATACATGATAATAGTGATGTGTTCTCCACAGGTTGGGGGATTGTAAAGTCACAGATAAAGTTTGTGCTGCTCTTGCTTCAGCTCTGAGATTAAACTCTTCACACCTGACTCAACTGGATCTGATTGGAAATAAACTAGGAGACTCAGGAGTGAAGCTGCTCTCTGATGGACTGAAGGATCCTCACTGTAAACTGAAGAATCTGATGTAAGAGTGTATGAATGTGTCAAAGTCTTTCTTCTTATTTCGTCTGCAGTTTGTTTAAAATATCAAGACCTGTTAGATAAAAAGATCATTTACTCATCCTCCACTTGGCCCAAACCTTTTTAATCTTCTGAACACAAAGATATTTTGAAAAACTTTGGACATTGGTGGCAGCCCCTCACAGATGACCAAAACTAAACATAAAGTGTCCCAGGCCTGGTCCTGTCTCGTTTTCCTTGGTCATCACTCCTCCTTTTATCATAGCCTTGAACTGTCCTATCCTTTGCTGCCAGGCAATTTCCCCTCTAGCTCATGGACACCTGGTTGCAAGCAGCAGGAGGTCTTACACCAATGTACTCTATGTGTGTCTATGGCTGTAGACTGTGCTCCGCCAGCTCAATGGCACTCCAAACTTTTTCCAGTGGCAATCAGGGCTGGAGCAAGCTGAACTGCCGCTCTAGGCAGAGGACGATCACGCCGCCCTCAACCCCAATGTGAAAACGGTTATGAAAATTAAGTGAGGTGTAGCGGACATCTACTCTTCCGCCCTATGCGCGGATATAACTGAGGACACGCGGGTGCTGAGGGAGGGAGGTGTCGCGGACGCCACCCTCTCTATTCTGTCGCCCTTTGCACGTATAACTGAGGACGCGCGGGGGTCGCGGACCTCTATTCTGCCGCCCTTTGCACGGATATAACTGAGGATGCGCGGGTGCTGATGGAGGTGTCGCTGACGCCGCTCTCTCTATTCTGTCGCCTATGCGCGAATATATCTGAGGAAGCGGGTGGTGAGGGAAGTTCGCAGACATAACTGAGAACACAGGTGGTGAAGGAGGTGTTGCGGACATAACTAAGGACGCGGGTGGTGAGGGAGGTGTTGCGGACATAACTGAGGACGCGGGTGGTTAGGAAGGTGTCGCGGACGCTGCCCTTTCTATACTTCCGCCCTAGGTCGCCTCTATGGACGCGCCGGCCCTGGTGGCAATGGCTATTTGACAGCATGTTCCTCCTTCCTCCCTGGCTTCGACACCAAGGTTCAACTTTATAATTTAAGAGAAGGAGATGGGAACTGGTAAACATTTAAGCAACTTTAATAATTTATAAGGGTGACGCAGTTGCGCAGTAGGTAGTGCTGTCGCCTCACAGCAAGAAGGTCGCTGGTTTGAGCCTCAGCTGGATCAGTTGGCATTTCTGTGTGGAGTTTGCATGTTCTCTCTGCGTTCGTGTGGGTTTCCTCCGGGTGCTCCGGTTTCCCCCACAATCCAAAGACATGCGCTATAGGTGAATTAGGTAGGCTAAAATTGTCCTTAGTGTATGTGTGTAGATTAGTGTGTATGGATGCTTCCCAGAGATGGGTTACAGCTGGAAGGGCATCCGCTGCCCAAAAACAAAATCGAACATAAAGTGTCCCAGGCCTGGTTCTCTCTCATTTTCTTCTGTTCACTCATTGTTTTAACCTTCCACGCTCCTCTGTGACGCTCGAGACCGGCCACTGGTGTGAACCTCACTCCACTCCCATAGCTTTTGCGTTCAACAAAAAACAAAAACTCATTTGGTCCGGAACCAAACGAGGATGAGCAAGTAGTGAATACATTTGTGGCTGACAGACATATATTTGGGTGTACTTACTATCACTTGTTGTGAATTTGTGTGATCCCTCATTGTCTTATTCTTCACTCATACAAGAAGAAGTCAGGTTGACTAAAGTTGATGTGTAGATGTAATCAAAGAAATCAGCGTAACCCAGTCCTTCAGCCAGGGGCGCCACTAGGGGGAAGTTAGGACGATTCTAAGTGCCCACACAGTTTTGGAGCCCCCAGAGATATTATTAGGGGCCTAAATAATCACCCCACCCCTGTTTTCACTTTCGTCCGCGACCCCACCCCTCCCCACACGCTCTTCATTGTCGTCCGCGACAGAGGGCCTTCAGCAGGGATGTTAGTCTGTTAGAGAATTTTACTTGCGTTATACTTGCAATTTCCACAAGTTCTACAATTGTGATCTACGATCTTATGTGTGTCCGCCTTCCTTTTGTTGATTTAACATTATTGTTGTGATTCAAGACATTGTTCATTTTCATCTCTGCCAGTAATGGTCACACAACTATGATAAAAAGTGTATACTACAAGTATCTTTACATTTCAATGAATAATGTGAGCTATTGTTTACCAAATCTGTTCTTAGAAGCCATAAAATAACATATTTATAGATCCTGAACTGAGACTGAAATCTTTGCTCTCTACAGGATGAGGGATTGTGGAGTCACAGATGAAGGTTGTGCTGCTCTTGCTTCAGCTCTGAGGTCAAACTCTACACACCTGACTGAACTGAATCTGAATGAAAATAATCTAGGAGATGCAGGAGTGAAGCGGCTCTCTGATGGACTGAAGGGTCCTCACTGTAAACTGGAGATACTGCGGTAAGACTGTATGAATGTCTAAGCATCTTTCTCCATTTTGCTCTTGCAGTTTGTTAAAGGGTCACGAAACACCAAAACACATTTTTTTGAGCTGTTGACAGTTGTATATGTGTCCCACATTGCTAAAAAAACACTATTAGGACACCTATATTTCACAAAAAAGTGTAAATTGGTTGTTTTTGCGTTATTTTAAGCAAATTCGTACTTCCGGTTTGAAACGAATTTTTGAAGCTGCGTCACGGTCATGACATAATAGCGTGTATTCCAGCGTGCAGACTGGACGTCTGTGCCAGAGTGTGTCTTATTACGTCTTACAGTGTGCTGCATTAATGCATGAGTAAAGCTTGGTTCAAACCAATCAGCGCGCTCTATTGTGCAACTTCATTAATATTCATTACTGTCACAGTGTTCAGACGGCAGAGACGCCACGTTGTGTTGGCAAAACAAGCGTGAAGTGTTGCTTTTATAGTTTGCTGCAGTGAAGTTTTGTTTTCATTTTCTCTCTGTGAGAGCTCTGAGTCACGTGTGGATTAACAGTGTACGCGACCCTCGACAATAATAACTTACGTGTCTAAGGAGGAACATTGTTTACCTGAGAGCTGTTCTCATCTGCAAACGCTGAGATCCGGATTCGCTTTAGTCTCCTCTAAATAAAGACGCGGCTCTAGTTGCTGGTGATTGTCCTGCCTCTACAGATTTGGTAAGTGAGCGAGCAGTGCTCTTTGTTTATTCAGTTCGTATTTTATTCGTATCGAACAAACTATTGCACCAGTGTAAACAAGTTAGCTCTACAACCAAACTATAACCTCATGTAGGATTTTGTGACCGGAATAACACACGCGGCTTTCTGACACTACCTGCCGTGTGCATCTAAGTTTCCGGGAAATGCTGAGTTTTTTTTCTCTCATTCGCCGTGCGGTTTCAAACATTGCATGAAAATACACGCTTAGAGCAGTTAATCGAATCAAATATCTCGTTTGTGGCGAGGGACATGATTGAATTCCCTGAATGAAAGAGCCAAACTGCAGTTAAAGTCCACCATTTAATAATTTGGCAAATAATTCGACTACAGCTGTCCATGTAAACACAGTCACATTGTCCGCTGTGGGTGTGTGTTTTGACTCTGAAATTCAGCGCGCCCAAATAGACACTCCCACACCAAGCCTCTTTTCTTCCTCCGACACTCCCCCCTAAACAGAGTTGGACACGCCCACTTTTCTGACTTTTTCCAAAGTAGAGGTGTGAAAACACCCTGCTGAAACAAGGGGGTTTCATGGCCCTTTAAAAAAAACTTTGAAGGGAGGCCTGTCATGTAGAGAGGATGTTGTATTTAATCTTCATTACATTCGGTTCAAAGTGACATAAGTTTACATTATTAATTCTAATATAATGGAGTAGAAACAACACAAGAGTAAGTAATTAATGACATAATTGATCATTTTGGGTGAACTAACCAGTTACTGAACCTGTTGATTGTGCTGTGGATTAAAACCCTCTTTCTTTCTCTGAAGTATTATATATTTCTTTGAGCTGTGGATGCTGAACTGAGAGACTGAAGAGTGTCATTGTTCTCTACAGGTTGTGGCGGTGTGGAGTCAGAGATGAAGGTTGTGCTGCTCTTGCCTCAGCTCTGAGCTCAAACTCCACACACCTGAAAGAATTGGAGCTGTCTGATAATAAACTAGGAGACTCAGGAGTGAAGCTGCTCTCTGATGCACTGAAGGATCCTCACTGTAAACTGGAGAAACTGAGGTAAGGACAGCATATAGGTAGGTATGCATACAGTTAAAAGGGTATATACTGTAGGCATGTCAGTACCATTCATTTTCCTCCAATAAATAACAAGCAAAATTAAGGCTTGTTATGCTTAGTGGGCGTCACGTTGGAATAGTGGGTAGCACAATTGCCTTACAGCTAGAAGGTCATTGGTTTGAGCCCCAGCTGGGTCAGTTGGCATTTCTGTGTGGAGTTTGCATGTTCTCCCTTTGTTGGCATTGGTGCTCCGGTTTCCCCTACAGTCTATAGGTGAATTGATGAACTAAATTGGCCGTAGTGTATGTGTATGAATGCAAGAGTGTATGGGTGTTTCCCAGTGTTGGCTGCAGCTGGAAGGGGATCCGCTGCGTAGAACATATGCTGGATAAGTTGGCGGTTCATTCCGCTGTGGCAACCCCTGTTTAATGAAGGGACTAAGCTGAAAGAAAATGAATGAATGAATTATGCCTGGTCATTTAATTGAAGAGGATGTTTAATCATTATGAGATTATTTAACACTGTGAAACGTATCTGTTAGTAGTTAATACCAGGGCTGTTTCTCACTATGCGTTCTTCAGCGGTCTTGCGTCCTCGTGTAACGTCATCATCAGCTGCCAAAGTTCAGTTCCAATACTCAAGACCGCAAGAACAGAGGACGAGTGAAACTTCCCGGATGTGTTCTTGATATCGAGGACGCACCGATGCAGACTTGAGCACCGAACTCATGCTAGAAGATTTATTATTAAAGTTTAGAGATATATCTTATTTATTTTAGGAGTTTCCCTAAATGAAACGGTGAATATCAACATTACCATGGACATCTTAATAAAGGCATAAACACATTAAGGGTGTTTGTTTGCTGAAATTTGTATTAAAATCTGTTTTATTTATATTGTGCAGAGTATATTTATAATGCTTTTATGCAGAGTTTATATTTTGAAAAAGGGTAAAAAAACAATAAATCGTTGTATGAATGCTGTAATGTTTAAATCATTTTCCATTTAAAACAAGAGAAGGTCATGTGACCATCTGGAAAAACGCAGCATCTCATTTCTCACAGGGTGCGTTCTCTGTTATCGTCATCTCCCGAGTTCGTTCTTCCGAGGACACCTGGCAAGACCAGTCTCCAAAAGAACGCAAGTCTGTTCTCTGCGTTCTTGGAATTGAGAAACAGCCCATGTGCCAAAATTTTTGATCAATGACATCTTGTCTTGAACTTTGGCCTTTGCCCTTTTATTTATTTCTTTTACAAAATACTTATTTTTTAAATGAACAAAATAGTAAAAAAAACACTCTTTTTTTTAACTGCAGAGTTACGATTTTGAGATTAAAAGTGATCAAAATGTCTCTACAGGTTGAACGGCTGTGGAGTCAGAGAGCAAGGCTGTGTTTCTCTGGCTTTAGCTCTGAGATTTAACCCCTCCTCACACCTGACAGAACTGGATCTGACTTCAAATGAATTAGGAAAGTCAGGAGTGAAGCTGCTCTCTGATCTGAGGGATGATCCACGCTATAAACTTAGACACTTGGGTGAGTGGTGACACAGGCCTTGTATAACGTTAGCTCCGTCTTGTTTCCTTGTCTTTGGCTAGGCGGAATCTCGGTGTTTAGCTCTTGAATCTGGTCATCATGGGGCAATATTTATTGCACATGAACACAAAAAACAAAATTGTTGGCATCTAAAGACTTGTAGACCTTTAACTTCTCTCTTGTAAAATCACTCGGAGCTTCATTGAGATTGCATATTTCGGGCTGGATGCTTGGTCATTTCGTCTTATCCAATATCCATTGGGAGGGTGCTATCGCAATTGGTCCTGTCAGATGAACGCCGCTCACTTTAACATTAATTTTGCTGAATCACTGTGCTTGTCACTGGGTGACGAGCTGTTATAATATGCTGTAAGCATTATGTAAATAATACATATAATATGTAAGTAATATATCTTATTTCTAAGACAACAACAAACTCTGCACCGCATCTGATGTCATTCCCTTGCTGTAAATGCTGGGGCTTCCGGTTGCTTTCTGCCACCTCCCTGTGCGCGCATCCTGAATGTTTACAAACATGGTAATTGGTCTATTGGTTGGGTTTAGAGGAGGAGGAGGGTGGGTCAGTCGATCGGTCAGTCAGTCATCAGTGGCCTCTGGTGGATTTGGGCGAGAACAGCAGGCACGAATGGTGCTCGCGAGAGAAATTTGAGATTTCGAAAAGCGTGCACAGCAGCCTCTGGTGGGTTCGCAAAAAAAAAAAAGGAAAAAAAAAACGTACCTCCTGGGATGTATTTGGCGCTCTCCAGAAATGTATATAGTCGTATGTTTTCAGAATGAGCCTGGGTTGATAAAAACAGAACTATTTGGAATTGGGAAGGAGTATGAACATATTAAAAAACACAGACCGATGGCATTCACAAAGTTTAAAAATGCATAGGAATCAGAAGACAGCTACTGTACAAGACATAATTCAAGAAAAGGTAGACATTTAAGACTTTCCTTTACAAGGCAACTTTTCTCCTCAGCATGTGATATGTTTGGAAGAATTATCGTAAGTTCAGGTGGAGGACGCCTTGATGAGCTACTCCCAACCACCTCCACAGAGACCTGAAGCCACCTATAATTAACTAAGGTAAGCAATTTAACTTAATACTTTAGTACTCTGTGAGGATGTGTTCCAGGTTGCCGATTCTGTTTAAAAATGCCTCTCCATATGATTAAACTTAAATATTAATTAGTATTAGTTCATTCATTCATTTTCCTTCGGCTTAGTGCCTTATTTAGCAGGGGGTACTACTGTGGAATGAACTACCAACTATTCCAGCATATGTTTTTTGCTGCAGATGCCCTTCTAGTCGCAACCCAGTACTGGGAAACACCCATACACTCTCATTCACACACAGTCATACACTACGGCTAATGTAGTTCCTCAATCCCCCTATAGCACATGTGTTTAGATTGTGGGGGAAACTGGAGCACCCAGAGGAAACCCACGCAAACACGGGGAGAACATGCAAACTCCACACAGACATGCCAACTGGCCCAGCTGGAACTCGAATCAGCGACCTTCTTGCTGTGAGTTGACAGTGCTAATCACTGAGCCACGGTGTCGCCCAAATAGTATTAGTTATAATTAGAAAAGAAAACTAGTTGTCGCACATGATGGAAACTGAAGATTGATGAATTATAAAGACATTAGCATGCATTTTACAAGCCATAAAGGTTTTATTTTTCTAGCACAAACCTACTTTATGTCCTGAAGTGTCTAATATTGTTGATTTTATTCATCCAGCAGAGAAACAGCTCTTCATTTGTTGACGTCTATCGGACTGAACACACCTTCATGAACCTGTTCCTGCTCAAACACGTCACAGAGTGTAACACATGAAAAACTGCAGATAATCTGTTCCTGTGTTCAACAAATTTAAGCTCTAAGCTTCAAACCAAATCAGTATATGCCCATGTATATATATTTTATTATCTGTGTGTTTCTGATTAAGCCAATGATGGAAACGTATATATTTTAAACTACTACTAAACTACTTTCACAACTGTCCACTAATGAAGTCTATACGTGTATTAGATATACTGACAGGGGGATTATGACCCCAATAAACCAGTTACAATCCATTAGCATTCAGATCAAAATGAAGGAGTGAAGAGATTATAATCACAGATAGATCGATTAGATCAGCGGTTCTCAAACTTTCCTGAAGTTCCACCTCAGAAAAAAATAGTCTCTCCACGTACCACAATGAGCAGTATGGGGTATATGCCGAAGCATGCTAATAGGACTTTTAATTTGCCAGTAACCTGGGTTAAGCACTTCCGGCTAATTGAATGCCAATGCAAAATCAGGTGCGTTTAAGGTCTGTTTTCTTTAAAAATCAGCGATCTCCACTGGCTGACTGATGTCTGATTTAAAGTGGGTCTCAGATTGTACAAGAAGCACTGCATTAAATTACATTTCCCCCGCCATATCTTTCTAATATGAGCATTTATTTTATCCCAGTATATTCAATGAAGCTTCTGCGCTAGCCTGCCGATTCTGACGGGCGCGTGCGAGTAAACAGCTTTTTGTCTCGTTTTACGCGTGAGCAACTAAATAAATGCTAAAGTTTATTTAACAGAATGTATTTTAATGACATTACAACATCGATGCTGTATAAGGAACCGTATAAAGTGGAAAAAAGTTCACAATAACAGGTCACCGGAAGTGTATCAGCATAGGAACAGCACTAGCTCGGCATATACCCTATTAAAATACAGTAGTGTAGTAGGCCTAGTACAGCAGCTACAACTCTGCACAGTTAAAAAAACGTGGCAGATCACCTCAGAAATATAGGCTATATGTCATATATGGCATATTATACACATAGTTTTTGATCAATTTTGAAATATATGTAGCATGTACATGACGTATTTCATTCCTCCGTGTACCACTAGAAGGAAGTCCGCGTACCACTAGTGGTACACGTACCACAGTTTGAGAACCACTGGATTAGATGTTGCCTACCCTGCTGTTGTCTATTAGAAGTTTCTGTCCTCCAGTGTTGATTTTCCCGCTCCTTTGTTTTAGTTGCGGAACAGCGCCCTCGTGTGTCCTCATCTGTCTACTGCTGGTGTTTATGTCTGTCGTGTCATTTCAAAACTATGAAATTACCTTTATAACGTTCACTGAAAACAAAACGATGACAAAACTTTCTTCTTTTTGTCCTGTTTGTGTCTTAAATCTGTGAAAATTTTGAAATTCACCTTATATAAGCCATGTAAAACTTCTGTTCATCAAAGAATGATTTAAAATCACGTTTTCCACAAAAATGAGCCTCAAATCATGATTTCTGATGGATCTTTTGACATCTAAGAGTGCGGTGATTCAGTTCTGAATCTCAGAAATAAATTACATTAAAATATATTCAGATTTTATGATGAGATTAGTCTATAAAATTGTCTATAAACTGAGGGTTTAGATGTTTGTAGAGGAATGTTTTCTTCAGGTGTGGTGTTCCCGTCTGGCCGCTGGGTGTCACTCTGACGCTGGGTGTCACTGTCGCAAAATGGTTTCCGCCGGTAAAGTCTAGATGGGATACAGCTGCGGTTACTTACATCAATATAGCATAATTTTTGAGACAACAATAATTTATATTTGTACAATACTGTGAAAGTAGGGGTAGACGACAATAAAATACTATTTAAAGGGTAATGTAATAAATAATACTCGGTATATTACATTAATATGAGTGCTGGGTTATGGTCAGTCATTAATAAAATACAATTAAATTGGTAATTTAATAAATAATATGAATAATACTTTGTATGATTACTGTTTTTACATTAATGTGATGGTTGGGGTATGGTTAGATGTTAATAAAATAAAAATGTAATAGGTAATTTAATAAACAATATGAATAATGCTTGGTATAATTGCTCTTTTTAAATTAGCGTGAGGGTTGGCTTATGGTTAGCCGTTAATAAATTACAATTTAATTGTTGATTTAATAAATAATATGAATAATACCTTGTATAGTTGCTGTTTTTACATTAATGTAAAGGCAGAGGTAGATGTTAATATGATTAAATGGTTAATGATATTAATAGCACACAGTATAATTGCTTTTTTTACATTACTGTGCTGGTAGGGGTAGACGTTAATAAAATACAATTAATGTGTAATTTAATAAATAATATAAATGATGATCGTTTACTTCCGTCCACAGCTGTATCCCTTTTAGCAACAACGCCGCCGCACGCTTTACGGCACGCACGTGTTTCCTGCGGTCTTCCGTGCCCTTCACTTCATCCGATCGGATCCACCGGCGATCGAATCTGCATAAAATCATGGTGAAACTGAGCAAAGAGAGCAAGCAGCGGCTGCAGCGGGTGTTCCAGTGCGGACAGTTCGTGATCCGCTGGGGTTTCATCCCCACTGTGCTCTATCTGGGTCAGTAAATGAACCACATTCACTGCATGTGCGCGCGTCCTGTGTGTTTACATGCGGCGTTAACTCACCATTTACCATTATATGCTTCGTTTAAAACATATTTAGCGTCTATGAACTCGGATATGACTATTATACGTGTTATATTTGAAGCTGAAGATTTGAAAAAGCGAGTTGTCATCAGTATATACATAGATAAACGTAGATTAAGATATATTAAAGCATCATGAACACATGACAAGATTGGTAGTAAGTAGAAATGATTCTTGAGCATCAAATAATCAGGATTTTTGAAAGCTCGTGTGGTATTTAAAGTGTAAATGAAATCAAAACTATCCATATTGATTTGGTTAACTCACATTGCCAATTTTGTGCTGAGCTATTCATCTGTGCATTTCATTACAACAATTATTTGCATGATTGCAAGGTGTTATATCTGGAAAAAGACGACTATGGATCAAAATTGTGTGTTGTTGAATAGTTTTAGACAATTTTCATAAACATTTTTGATCAAATGTTGTCTACTGCATTTTAAAACGATAATTATAATGTATATACTGCAAATATAATTAGTGACTAGCATCAAAAAAAAACTCTAATTTGCATAAAGAAAGGTTTATTTCTCTACAATTTGAATATGTTTTTTAGAAGATGTTTTTATTATGTATTGGCGACACAAACACACACACACACACACACACACACACACACACACACACAGTCAGTGATATACAGGTAAAATTGGCACATTCAGACTTTCCCCTTAATAATATAATTTCATAAAAGTATTATTTGCAAACTCCAAATAGCCAAATCATATTAGCAGCCGATGACTATCAAAGTACAACAGTGTTCACAGTCAAATAAACAGTGTTAATGTTGTTTTCAAGCCACACTTACATGCTAATTCGGATCGAATATTCAAAGTAACATGGTAAACAATATAGAGACTTCTAAATGATCGAATGTCTGAATATAAAACCAACTGTACCACTTTTTCAGTGATATATTGCTTGTATTATGATTATTATTATTTTTTAAAAATCATGATCAGAACTTCACACCATGTATTTACAATATTTATACAGATTAAATGTGTAAGTATGCTCTATATTGCACACAACGGATGACAATTATTTTGTAGTCTTAATGTATACTAGTGGTGTGACAAATCACAAATCTCACGGTTCGGATCACATGGCTTTTTAGTCACGGATCAGACTAAATTTCACCATCATTTATGTTGCGTGGGTGTTGAGAGCCTGATCTTTTAATGATTAATCGTGCAGCTTACACTGAATGCATTGCTGCAGGCTAAACAAGTATTGACAGAAAGCACCTTTAATAACCTAAGAAACCCACCATGTCCCGAATAACCCACGACAGACTTTCTGTCATCGTTATATTGTACATGCAAGCCTAAATGCTTCCATACATGTGATTTAAATCATGCCAGAGGTATTTTCTCTGCGATCGTTACAAATTTAGGATTAATCTACAAGTAAAAAAAAAATGTATTAGCCTAATCTCCGAGTCACATGTGTTCCGAACCGTGGGTTGTGATCCGTACGAATCACAGATCAACCGTCATCTGTTACACCCCTAATATATACCATCACTATTATAGCCGTCATCAAGGAAGTGTGCGTTTTGAAAGTGTTTATTTCAATTCAGTTATTCCTCATCTAAATACTGCTCATCCTGCTGTGCTTGTTGGCCATTAAGTAGTGATTAACGTCACTACAGGACAGTCTGTCAGGATGAGGGGCTTCTGGGATGCGTCGTCATTGTAATACAGGGTGACTGATTGTAAATAATGTTGAGTTTGTTGCGTATTTGTGTTGCTTGAGTGTCTGAAGCGCATCACTTCCTCCAGCTGTGAGTCTTTGTCTTGATGGTTTTCTCTGGCGGGTGTTTGGCTCTGTGCTTTTAAAGCAGCGTCATCACTATTAAATGTGAAATGAGGAAATGTTGATAGGGACTCCGCTACTGTCATCATCATTGCTCCACCGAAATTTGCCTACCTGTGTATTTTTGGCATGACGGGAAATGTTGAAAGACGTCATGGCGTTTTGTTTTGGTGCTGAACGGTTTTACGTGGAAAAGCCCAGTGAGTCTACACATGAGCATTTCTGGAGGACAGCTGTTACATCATATACCTGCTTACATAGGCAACATACAACACTGGACAAAAGTTCTGGGTTTAGTTGATGGTTATAATCTGGGTTTAATTATGTATATTAATAAAAATCCATGAATATAGATGTTTAGATAATTTCACATTGGTAGTATGCTTTCTAATTAAGGCAGCTTATTATTGTTTACATTTGTTTACATGTAATAATTTGACATGCTATGCATCAAAAGCGACTTACAAATAAGAACAGCAGTAGTAAAACATTAGGGCAGAAATTGTATTGTTATTTTCTAGTTATGCAGTATACATTTAGAAAAATGTTGTTATTAATATAAATTACATTTATTTAATATATTAAATATATATTAATTTTAATTAATTAATATAAAATACTTTTAGAATTCAAATTTATTTTATACAGTGGGGAAAATAAGTATTGAACATGCACCATTTTTCTCAGAAGACGTATTTCTGAAGGTGTCGTTGACTTAACTTTCACAGGATGATGATAACAACCAAAGAAATCCATATATGCAAAGAAAACAAATCTATTTAGTTTACAAATGAAGTTGTGCTTAATAAAATAAATGATGCAGGGAAAAAGTATTGAACACATAAAGAAAGGGAGGTGTTGAAAGGCCCAGACAGCAGCTGAAATCTCTCAGTAGTTCTTCAGCAAGCCTCTGCCCTTCCTCAGTGTAAATG